ACGCAGGGAAATACGTTCGCTGATAGATTTGAGGCATGTGCTGTTCATGTGCTGGCACTGAGGAGCAAATGCAAGACTGGTATTTACTACGTGTAGGTAGCGTGTGAAATGAATTGGCTATTAGGTCTGTGTAACATGGTTCTGCCTTCTCAAAAAGAGTCTTTCCCTGGTAGCATTTACAGCAGGACAGCTATTTACATATGGACCCACACGAAGAACAGTATTAATGCTCAAGAATTTGGCAGTGTTTTACAATAAATGTCTAAAGGCAGTAGGGAGAGACTGCATTTTACTAAATTAGGGGAAAGAGTAAAGGTTTCAGGATAAGGTGCCTATTTGCATCTGAAGAACTAATGAAATAAAGGAATACAAACTATGATGTATTTTTCTTCAATAAAAAGCAAATGCAGTGTTTCTATGTTGTGGCTAATCAGGGAGTCTTTTGCTAATTAGTCAAATTTATATGAAAATTATTTTGCAAAATCAATGTGTATCTTCAAGACAAGTTATTAAGAAGCTCTAGGTTGTCCTAAAGTTATTACTAATAGCTGTGATTTGATTATACTTGCTCAGTTGGCTTTGCATTGACAGTACATAAAGTACATAAAAGTAAGATTTGACACTAAGTGAATTAGTCTGCTTGGGCTGGTTCTGCATGCTGCAGGGTGTTCTACTGTATATTACTGCATTCTAGAAATAACATCTTTCTAAACGAGGCTAACAATAGGGAGTAAACTTGAAAATAGATGGAATTGAAGCAGGGTAAGAGGATGGCTTTCTTTCATGTAGGCAACTAAAATGTGCATCACAGTTAATGAAGGGCTCTCAGGTGCTACATGCATTTCTGAATGGAAGGTCCATTTTGTCCTATAAGACAAAAATCTGTCTTCTAGAGGGGTGACCTGTGAAATGCCTTCTCACATCATGAATGCTTTTGCAGACTTCAGTCAGACCAGTATGAGTTAATGGGTATTTTACATGATGTAAAGTAACTTTAACTTAACCTTCAAATGGAAATTTGTCCCTTCACCTCAACTTGAATTTAGAAGCTAAAAAAAAAGTCTTAAGCCTGGTTTGTTCCATTTGCTAAATTCTGTGGTCTGCTCCCCCATCACACGTGGGCACACACATTTTTTCCCCCATAAAATTGTGAAATACCCAGAAAATCTGTTTCTGAGGTTTTGCAAGAGCAGTGGTCAAGTCACTGTAAGTCACAGGAAACTCTTCGTGAAGCATGGTATGTGGAAAATAAATACCAGACATGAGGTCAAAGCTCATGCAAACCCTTTTTATAAATGCTGACCTGGGTAGGAGTCAGTAGTCTCAGTGTGAGTGAGGGTGTGCAAACTGAAAACAATTCTGCCACCCACCTTGAACCCTTTTCTAGCAGACACAGGTCATGTAAGGTCTTGATTAGGCCAAACTGCTTCCTTATCTGATGCTGATGTGCTGTGCCTCCCACTGCACAAGTGCCTTAATCTCTTAGTATCGTAATGCATTTTTTTTTTAAAAAGCTCTTTAGTTAAATAGAACTGTTATGAATATTGATTAAAGCTACTGAACTATTTTGAGTTGGTTTAAGTGAAAGATAATGCAAAAATGCAAATAACTCATTGTTAAGTTTCAGCATCAGGAAGGGTTTGTACTAGAACATTTGCTTTCTAACCACATTGTCTTTTTCTACCCTCCTCAGCCCCTCGTTCACAACCATCTCAGCTAACAGCAACCTCTCAAGATATGGCCTCGAAAAGAGCATTGGTGATTTTAGCAAAAGGGGCAGAGGAAATGGAAACTGTAATCCCTACTGATGTTATGAGAAGAGCTGGGGTGAGTACACCGACAGTGAAAAATCTCTTTGTGAGTGTGTGGTCAAGGGGAAATCTTTGCCTCAAGTTGATGTTCATTGCTAGGAGTTCAGTGTGTAATTTGTTGTGTGAGGTGAAAATTTCCCCTACCGCCTTACTGTTTAGCAAATGCTTGTTCCATGCCCCTACTAAGTATGCTTGACAACTGACATTTGTGCAAAAGGTAGACTTTCAAAGTAAGAGTCCAGTGTGGACTAGAGTGAATGTTTCAAGTAAATCTTACTCTGTCAGAAAACATGGCTACTTCTATGGATAGTAACAGAAAGTACTTTTTTTTCTAGGGGTCTGAAAAGCTCAGTGCATTACAGCTCATGACATTATGTAGCTTTTCCTGACCTACTTTTAAAATTCTATTAACTAGAGTTTGGCTGTTGCGATTCCTCATGATGTTTGTTACCTTGCAGCTGTAGTAGTACATCTCATTAGGTATGAAAATAATGTTTTAAATTAGTACACCAACTTCGCTTGTGTAGAAATGACTAAACTGCTCCCATCACCTCATCACTGTACACCCCATTTTGGCTGTCATAAGAGGAACAAGCTTGTCTGCTTTTTAGTGAATGTGAGCTGTGCCATGCATATCTATGATGTTATGACCAAGCATCTAAAAGTCAAGGGAGGAAAGTGAACATGCCATA